TCCAAGACGAAGGTGCCAAAGGCCACCGACGTGAAAGAGTTCAATCCCCGCATTGCGCAGGATCATGGCGCCGACGCCCGTATGCTGTCGGTCGATGTCCCTCGAGATTCCTCCCGCCGTGGGCGCTTCCTGCAAGGTCGTGGCGGCGACGGTCAAGCTGGGAGCGATGGTCGTACCGGCCGTGGAGGTCGTGGTGGTCGTGGTGGTTGTGCGGGTGCTTCTGGGGAAAGCGGCGCTGCCGGCGGTAATGGCGGTGGTCGCGGTGGTAGTGGTGGTTCTGGCAATCCCGGTGGTGGTGGCGGCGGGGGTGGTGGCGGTGGTGGAGGAGGGGGTGGTGGAGATGGAGGCGCTGGTGGTGATGGCGGTGATGGCGGTGATGGCGGCTGCAGATAGCTCGGGGCCTAGTATGGCGGCGGCGGGTCGACTGCAATTGCGGACCAGATTAATGACCCTGCCATTAAAACCATGCGTGCCCGTGTTGGTGTATCTCAGTAGCCGCCCAGTTTATCTTTCTCTTCCGGTGTACTCAATCACCATTTGGTCTCAGCATTGCCATTCGGCTATTCGTTCAGCACAGTTCTGCGATGATCGACACTACCATTACACATTATTTCATTCGTCCGCGATCATCAGCTGAGGCTCTTTCAGTCAGTCTTTCACGACAGTCCTCGCCATAGCATAGCGAACGTACTCGTAATCACGTTGAATAGCGTTTGTAGTATCGCATGCGGTGCGAGGAGAATGGTCGAACGCTGCCGTGTATCCGAGAAGCGATGTACATGACAATCCCAGTCTAGTCGAAAGCGTGGGGATGCTCGCTCGCAAAGCGCTTGATGGTTTGGGTTTCGTTTCGATCACTGAGCCAGGGGCACCAGCATGATGCGGACGCTTCCAAGAGTATGCCAGACCCTTGATCCTGACGAATTGTCCCTGGCATGTCTATTGCGATGCTGGTCTGGTTGCTACCACGTGTAGCCTGAGGATCATCCCCTACGAGCTCTTCCGCACCACTGCTAGGAACTCCCTCGAAGTGGGGAGGTGCAGGCTCTCGCCTGGTTACTCGGGTATCCGCCTTCAATGAAGGCCCTTCATGCTTATATGAATCGTCCTCGTCTGGTCGATTAGACTGCATACTACCGATCGAGTACATCTTTAAGAGCCTACGACCCAGAGGCAGAGCCATTCTCAGTCACCGGAATCCTGGCAGCACGATCACCAGGCAATGCAACGCTCATCCTCAATCTTAACTTCTCCACAGCTTAGGCGTGGCGAGCGAGAGCGAAAGCCGACATGACTATAGCCCGTATTAATCTCCCAAAACGATGCCGCTTTCAAGGTCGATATGTTTTTAATTGCAGAAGTATCATATTTGTTCTCTTCGCTCATCGGATAACGACAGGCGTTATCCCTCTTTCTGATCCAAATCTGGTAATGGACCACCTACGAGACTAAGAGGTGACTCGCCTCAGGCGAGTAGACCAGAAAGTCGATTCAAGGAAACCTCGAGCGGTCGCACAGCTAATCTACTGGTAGTTCCAAAGCCGGGTGCTCAATGAGTACAATGTTCTGACGCTTCCCGGGAAATGCACAGTGTGCATTGCACACTTCAAAAGATGGAGGGTTCGGCCGGATCGGAGGTTACCATCGGAAGCTAAGGACCTGCTGATCTGCAGTCAGCCGCTCTACCACTGAGCTACACACCCGAATGAGCCATGAAGAATAAGTCCATCTCGTTTTCTGTAGCTGTTCTTCACGAAAATAGCTGTTCACATACCGACTATGAAGGGCGCACCCGGAGTTGAACCGAGGACTTGCTGATCTACAGTCAGCCGCTCTACCACTGAGCTTCACACCCGAACGAGCCCCAAAATATAAATCCATCTCGTTTTTTGTAGCTGTTCTTCATGAAAATAGCTGTTCACATACCAACTACGAAGGGCGCGCCCGGATTTGAACCGAGGACCTTCTGATCTGCAGTCAGCCGCTCTACCACTGAGCTCACACCAGAACGAGCTACAAAAAATATTGTCCAATTCGTTTTCTGTAGCTGTTCTTCACAAAAGTAGCTGTTCACATACCGACTACGAAGGGCACGCCCGGATTTGAACCGAGGACCTGCTGAACTGCAGTCAGCCGCTCTACCACTGAGCTACACACCCGAATGAGCCTCAAAGAATGAGTTCAATTCGTTTTCTGTAGCTGTTCTTCACGAAAATAGCTGTTCACATACCAACTACGAAGGGCGCGCCCGGATTTGAACCGAGGACCTTCTGATCTGCAGTCAGCCGCTCTACCACTGAGCTCACACCAGAACGAGCTACGAAAAATATTGTCCAATTCGTTTTTTGTAGCTGTTCTTCACGAAAATAGCTGTTCACATACCAACTACGAAGGGCGCGCCCGAATTTGAACCGAGGACCTTCTGATCTGCAGTCAGCCGCTCTACCACTGAGCTCACACCAGAACGAGCTACGAAAAATATTGTCCAATTCGTTTTCTGTAGCCGTTCTTCACGAAAGTAGCTGTTCACATACCGACTACGAAGGGCACTCCCGCATTTGAACCGAGGACCTGCTGATCTGCAGTCAGCCGCTCTACCACTGAGCTACACACCCGAATGAGCCTTGAAGAATAAGTCCAGTTCGTTTTCTGTAGCTGTTCTTCACGAAAATAGCTGTTCACATACCGACTACGAAGGGCGCGCCCGGATTTGAACCGAGGACCTGCTGATCTGCACTTAGCCGCTCTACCACTGAGCTTCACACCCGAACGAGCCCCAAAAAATAAGTCCATCTCGTTTTTTGTAGAATTGAACGCAAAGCGGGAGAGGACATAAGGAAATACAAGAAATCTTTAGATTACTGAGTTAACCGTTTCAGTAGTACAATCAATGGTGTTACAGCTAATTTAGCTTGATCGATTATTGGCTTTATCAGCTGTAGCCGGAGACAGTATAGCGCATCAGTCAGACCTGGGGATTGAACCCGGGGTCTTTCGGTTCGCAAGTATACAAGTTAACCACGCGGCCAAATGGCTTAAGTGGAACATAGTTTACTAGCCTAGACTTTGCACTCCACTCGTCCCCTTCTCTCTCTTCACTTAAGCAGCTTAATATCCTTCAAGTCGAACTTGCCGGGCAGGCCTTCTAGCTTGTACGCCTTGGGGCCAACTCGTTCTTCAATCACTGCATCCAGCCAGCGATCGGAGAGTTTATTCGACGGTCTGGGATTCCGGTAAAATACACAAGTACCGGGTTCCAGTCCTCGTCCCCATTCTTCTTTGTTTTCGTGACAAAGTTCACCCCACTCGTCGCGTGACTGCACTGGACGGTAAGGTTCACAGTTAGGTGAAAACCTAAATACCTTCTCATGCGCAGACACGCCATGGTAAGGGGTTGTATTATACTTCGTCACTCCCTTTTTGACTAGTCTGGTGAATTCAGGCCAGCCAATTTCATCGTGGGAGGCATGAGTACGGAGGTACTCGTTGAGTGTTCTATGAAACCTTTCTACTTCTCCATTACTCAGCGAAGTATTCTTCGCAGTCGTGTAATGTAAAATATCATGTTTCAACAGAAATGCCTCAACTCGTTTCGAAACCAGATTCGCACCGGAGTCAGACCAGACAACCAAAGGGGTTGTGTGAAAGGTCTCTAACATATGGCTCAATAGAACCTCTATGTCTTCACCCACGGGCGCCGATTTCGTGGCCTTGCCCAGAGCATATCCAGTGGCACTATCCACTAGTGTGACGACGAAGAATGACTTCTTACCAGAAACAACTCTGTAGTTTCCGACTACATCAATATGGACTTTATTGAATGGAATGAAAGACTTGCGTGTTGCACGTTTTTCGACGTCATCACGTTTCCTCTTCTTTCCTGTCTCAGGATCTAGTCCATCCGTGTTCTGGTTCGGATGTGCCTTGGCACGTTTACAAACGTCACACTGAGCAACAACCTCTCGGCATATTGCTCGGAACCCTGGTTCTGATTTCACCCATTTGCGAAGTCTTTGATATAGAGCTTCTGCACCTTCATGGTCGTGATTATCTTCTACAAATTGTTTCACGTGACCAGGTGGGATAATCAGATAGCCATTCTCACACGTACTCACGTCCTGCCATTCATGGGAACGAGTAGCTGCTGCTAAAGTATGAGACTCAGGCTTCGCTTTCAACTCACGCCTTGATGGTTTGGGCCATTTTAGATAATCAGGTATTCGTGATCGTTCATCCGCAGGGTTCTCACCACTGGCTATGTATCTGAACGTTATGTCTATTTTATACAGCTGTACGAGGTCGTCTATCATTTGTAGCCTAACCTCCGCTGCACCTGATGCAAGACCCTTGGATGCAACCCAATGGCTGAGTTTCTTCCTTGAAAGTTGGCCTAGGACTGGCTTGTTATCGACATACACTGTAAGTGCAAGACCAGTTTTAATTCCTAAGGCTCTTATCCAAGGAACCGTTAGGTCGTTCAGACCTCTCAAGCCTGCTTCTAACTCTACTGTATCGATAGGCCGAATGTCTTTCGTGGCTCGTAGCCAAGATTTATCTTCGACTAATTGCGACCCAAAATATAAGCATGCACCGATTGCGTCCGCCGAAGCATCTGTGTACACAGACCATGGCTGCGAGGGATCTACTCGGAAGAATCCAGTAGCTGGATCTCCTCGTAGTACAATGTCTGAGTACAATTTATGTGCTTTCGTCACAATGTCATCAGGCAAAGGATCGGCCGAAGTTGCGCTCGGATTGGCAATAACACTCAGTCTCTCCAGCGCTCTGGCTGCTGGCGAGAGCCATCCTAGGACAGGATAATGAGATGATGCTATCGTGGCCACCCACGAACGAAGATCACGATAGGTGAAGCCAGCAATGGGCTGGATATCACTTCGTCGTTTCCATCTATTCGCACCAGTCATTTGTAATCCTAAAATCCGTGCTGAGCTACTGCTCTCTGGGTCTTTTGTTGGAAACCCGTTCCTATGTAATGCTTCGCGCAACTGATCTACATGCTCAGTTGGTACTCGCATATCATCTACGAACATATCTATCGGGCTTTCGAGACCTTCCTCGCAGAGAATATATCTTATGATACTTCTCAGTACTTTTGGAGCAATATTAATGCCAAATCCTAAGCGATCCAATCGCATGTATCTTGTTGATCCTTTCTCATCTCTTATGATGAGGCCTTGATATGCCGCGCATTTAGGGCTCATGCGTACGCAAAGGTATGCTTTCTTTATATCTATCAATACCCAGCTATCTATCGATTTACCATCACGTGTATAGTTCGCTCTCCATCGGCGTAATGTATCGTCGACGGTAACATGGTCATCCGAATTGGGATATGAATGGATCTGATTATTTAGAGGCTTAAAGTCTATAACAGGACGGCAAGGAGTTGTGATTTTGTGTTCTTGCGCGACTCCCATTAAAGTCAATGTTCCCTTCAAATCAGATCTTTTGACCTCTTGTATGAAGCCTTGAGATTCCCAATTTTTGATTTCCGTTTGCCATGTATCTAACTGTGATTGACTCAGTGACTCCATCTGCTTTTCATAAGTGGGAGGACGGAATACTCCTGGAGGAGCTTTATTATCAATCCACTTCCATTCCACTTGCCAAACAGATTTACCATCACCATCAGTCAGTCTACGAGCAATGAAATCAGGTTCATCAATAGTAGCTGTGATTCTGTTCCCAGTTTGTTCATCGATTCTAATCTGAGAATCTGCGCCAGAGGCTAATGCCGGTGAAGCGGCTATTATAGGCTCAGTGTAATGCGTGCTCTCGAATACTACAGGAGAGTGCATCGCTATCCAATCGCATCCTAGAATTATATCAACTCTATAGTCACCCACGTGTTCTATGTGATCTGCATCAACGACTAATACAGGCATGGTGTTCCGTATATCATTGTTACAACTCAACACAGTAGCAGGGATCTTTGCGATGGTACACAACTGAGGACCTTTAATGGTCGATAATGCAACCTGGTGATCTTCAACTGAACTACAACCTCTACCAACCTTGCTCAATGCCGATCGAGTTATGATTGAGTCACTTGATCCTGAATCGACAAGGCAAATGAGATTATACTCAGTCTGAAGCAACAGCGGCATCGGAGAATCTAATACGTGAAACCGCTCCCCAAGGTTGCTTACCTTCAAGGCCATTCTTGCTTTAGCAAGGAATCTACACGTTTCAATCGTGTGATTGGTCTTATTACAAAACTCACAGCGCTTCACCGATTGGCCTCCTTCACGGCTTCTCTTTCCCTTGCCTTTACCGCCTTTACCACCCTTACCCTTGCCAGACTTAAAGTCAAATCTTCGCACACCAGGTGCGGCTACTCGCGGTTGACTGAGGTTATCAAATGATAGCCTCGCGCGAGTAATGATTTGCTCATAAGACTTGGTAGGGTCAAGGCAGAACGGCTTGATGGCAGAGCTTGCTGGATGATCGTGTGGTAGACCACTGTAGAAGAACAGCTTCATAATCTCACCCTGGCATCTGTTGTGAATATTGCCGAAGCTCTGTCGCACTAGGCGACTCACAGCAGTAGCATACTCATCAACCGATGTGTAGTCGTTGAAGCTGACACTTCTCAAGCTGGCAACAGCCTTGTCAGGGCTCGAACCAAACCGCTTTCGTAGTTCGGATCGTAGCCGGGCCAAGTACCGTTTCCTGGAAGGAT